TTACCAAATTTCATTGTAGGTGGGATTTGAACCTTAGACCTGCCACTTGGAGGATGACAACCCAACCACTACACTAGAATCGCCATCCATTTTGTTTAATTATTGTGAATTAACTAAGTTAGTAGTTGTAGATTTTTTAAATATAATCAATAATTTATTTATTGATCAATTAATAGTTTATACTTTAGTTGATTGGAATATTTCATTTAATGAAACATGATTAATTGTATCAGACTTAACATTATATATAAAAAAATGTGTTTATGAAATACTTAAACCAATTATGCTACAAATAATGCATTAAACTTGTTTGGCACATATTTTAAATTTGATTAGGTTTGTATTTATTTATTTATTAAATATTAAAAATAATAAATAAATAAATAATTCTTTGATTTAATAAATGATATAGTAAAGTATAGGTATTAATCAAAGATTTCAATATTATTTATTAATTATTAGAAAATTTTTTTGTATTTCTATATGTTGAAAGTTGAATTAAGCAATTAGAAAATACAATTAATTTAGAAATATTATTAACAATTTTGGTTTAACCAGTTCTTAAAATATTTGCTAAACTTAATACAGATCTTGATTTGTTTTTTTCAAGATTTTAATCAGCCTATTGAGCTGTTTATAATAAATTTTGTGATCATGTTACTGATCATTTCACACATTCTTTATTTTAAGAATCCTGTATTTTTGATCTTCATTTTATGTTACTTTCTACAATTAATCATAACCTTGTATTATATTCTTATATAAAGGAATTTGCAAATTCATTAATTGATTTAATTCAAGAATAGGTAGTTTATTGCAATTTTAATTCTGTTGTTGTTAAATTTCATATATTAAATGAATTTTGGACCAAAGTTTCTTATTAACTACCTTTATTAAGCCAAATAGCTTTAGATTATATCTGGCTTTCAATATCATTTTGTAATGTAGAGTAAAGTTTCTTAGTATATAACAAAATTTTGAATGATGATAGACAAAATTTTAGTAAAGAATCAATTCATACTCTTACAATTATGTATTATAATCAAGATTCTTAAAATTAATTTTGTTAAAACTATTCTTAAAACATAAGATTAATAAATAAAAAAGAAAAAGAAAAAATAACTCTAATATTATTTTTAAAAAATGGTAATCAAACAGATCTGCTGGGTACATGTTATTATGTAATTCAGATTTGATTATAAACAATTCAATTACTAATTAGAAAATATACTTAACATATTTATAAATTATTATTAAACAATAAATATGATCTCTAAGTTTGAATCACTTAAAATTTTATTGTTTATACGTTTTTTTTATTAATATTGTAGGCAAATTTAATTTTTTTATAAACATTTGTTTTTTTATTTCTATTTTGGATCAATAAATTAATAATTTCAAAAAATGTACTTCATTTAGTACTATAAAAATCATTTATAAGCCTAATTCAATGATCCAAAGGTCATAATGGTAATTTATTTAAATTACCAAAAAATATTCAAGATATTAAAAAATAAACTCATTTATTTCATTGTTACTATCATTTTAAAAATATTTGAACTTTAGATTTTTTTTTTGCAAGTTAAAATTTTATAATTGTCATGCCAGTTTATTTTTAAACATGATAATTTAATTTGGTTTCGCATTATAAACTTTTTACTTTGATTCCTTTTTTATTCAAAAAATCTTAATTATTTGAATAGTATGACATCCTGCGCAGGATTTGGGTTGTTAATCTAACATAGTAAAAGAACTCATCGTTATAAAAAATTTTTTGTTGATTTAATGTGCTAATAATTAAAAAAAACTTTAAATAAATATAAAGTAATATAAAACTATAAACAAAATCTATAAAAATTTTAAGCAATAATAGCATAGCAGTAACGATGATAGAAGAAAATTTTTTTTAATGATAATGAATTTTATAAGTACATAGACTTTTTTTGATTTGTAATCAAAATGCTAATAATCAAATCCGAATCATATAATCACGTTATTATAAACTTGCATTCTGATTGGTCAGATAAGTAAATCGATATAAATCGATATTTTTGACCATATCAATATATATTTTTGCCTATATCGATATTTTTCCGGGTCCTGGGATGGACGGACAAAATTCAGCTCAGACATCTAGTATGTATCACGTGACATCGCGTGGCCACGTGGGTGAACAGGCGGACAAAAGTTGCAAAAGTTGGCTAAGTACCTGAAATGTAAGTCCTTCGCTACGCTCCGGACAATAATCTTGTCCACGAAATTGCCTTATAAGTGTGATGTACATCATTTATCCAAAATAAGTAAATGATGCACATCCTGCATCGCTCAGTGCAATTACGATTACTACAATCACGGGATGCCTTTGCGTTCTGACCATCTCGGTCAATAACTCGCTTCTCTGTAATATTCGGCCTAATTATCTGTTGGTGTAATCCGAATTAAACTCAATATATTGTGTAATGCATACGCTTTTCGTGTAAATAACGGTAATTTGGCTCAACCCAGCAAATGATTGACTGACACGTGTCGAGAAGCAACACATGCAGCCAATCATTTGCCTCGGTTGAGTCAAATTAACTATTTTTGTTGGTGCTTGTGCTTTACCGAATGAATTTATTAATGTAATAACTTATTTGGTCAATAATTTAAGATCAGTCTAAGTTATCGAATTCAATTCATTAGAATTAGTGATTTTAGAAAGGAACTAGAAGGTAAAAATTTATTAAAGCTTCTAATTAGCTACAAATTATTAAAGTAATATTTTGAAGTATATTATTTACAATTCTATTAATTATTTAATGGCCAATTAAGGTCCTTTTATCTAACTATTATATACTATAATATAACTAACAACTATTGTTGATAGTTATATAAAAATCTAAGGAATTAAATATTTGAAAATTAGTGAGTATATTGGATAGACCTTGTATAAGCTATATTGAGTTGAAGTATTTTGTAAGCTTCTTGAGCCATTAAGTATGTACGGATGTTGGAACAAATAATGCGAATTTTTTGGTGGTAAACCGAAATTATAGAATTGGTCCAAATTTTTCATTTTATTTTTTTTAGATGCATATATATATATGCACTCTTAACTTTAAATTAATCCTAAAAACCTTGACCTTTAATAATATTTATACAGTAATTCAGGGTAGTTATTTAACCATCAGTTGAAATTCTTTCTACTTTTAATTTTAAAAATTGGTAAAAGTTTTATTAAAATATCAAATCAAAATTTTGCAAAATTTAAAACATCTATTAAATAAAAAAGCTATACTAAAATGTTTTTTTTAAAAAAAAAAAGTTGATCAAAAAAATGTCTGAGATTAATTAAAATTTTACAAAATTCCATTATGAATAATGTATACGTCCAAATACTGATTTTGAAAAAAATAATTGTTAAGCAACTAGGGTTTATTGTAAAAGAGATTAAATAAATTTGATAGAAAATCACGTTATACAGTAATAAAATTTCTTTAAGTCAATTGAACAAAATAATCAAAATTTGGAAGTTTTACTATGTAATTTTGTTAAAATGGATAAACAAAATTTTATACAATGAAAAATATATATTGGTAACCAATAGTCCAACAATATGTATAAAATATTTAATGAATGTTTATAATGATATAAATAAATAAATAAATAATTTAACCAAAAATAAATTTAAGGGTGACACGTTTATCGCATCACTTTTTTCTCATCAACCTATATTCGTTTAAGTCCATCAGCTATTTCTTTAGGAATTTCCATTCCTAAACTTTTATATTTTTCTGATAATTTTTTATACGCATGAGGATGTTTTTTCAAATGTGCTTGTTTCAACCAACGTTCACCTTCTGATAAATTTTGTCGAACACCATGAGCACCGTTAATCAATAAATCACCATAATTAAACATTGCATTTATATTTCCACGAACTGCAGCTTTTTCTAAATATTCTATAGCAATTCTATCATTCTCAGCACTTTTCTTAACTCCTTCTCCACCAAGTAAAGCTACACCATATCTAAATTGTGCATCTGGAATATCTTTTTCTGCTGATCGACGGAAATATTCTACCGCTAATTCTTTATCTTGTGGTATATCATGATCACCTGAAATTAGATAATAACCAACATAAAATTCTGCGGCTGCATCTCCATGATCTGCATGATATTTGAAGATTTTATACGCTTCACCATATTTTTTTTCACTATGTAACCTTTTGGCTTCACTAATATCTGGAAAATCTGGTTTAGATTCGAGAATTTCAACAAAGTCATCTTCTACCATATTTGAAAATGTAGATTGAATATCGGCTTCTAATGCTGAAGGCATTGAATCATGTCGAGTAGGAATGAACGAGGTGAATGAATCAAAACCAGTAATACTATTCCTATGATTCGATCTGACAAGTGATTTCAATTCTCTGAACATCGAGTCAGCTGTCGGTCTTTGAATTGGTTGTGGACTCCAACCTAATTTCATTATCATTTCGTAAGGTTTAGGTGTACCACTTATTAATGGTGGTCGATCTTCTAGTATCGTAACACGGTTAACTAACTCTGGTACATTGGTAACATCTGAGAATGGCATTTCTTGAGATGCTAGCTCCCAAAGTACGATTGAAAAACTATCAATTGAATTAATTTTAATTATTTTAATTAATATATTTATTTATTTGTTTGTAATAATAATATACCTGTATATATCACATTGCTTGGAGTAGGGAGTGGCAGCATAATTTGCAAGTTTTTCAGGTGAAAGCCATCTGAAATATAAAAAAGTATCAATACCATGTTGCTTTATTTTACGACGTTATGATATAATATTATAATATAATATTATGATATAATATATTATTATATATTACCTATATATTAGCATAATATTTTTCATAGGCATTGTATAATCGCTTACTTTACGGCTCGAATTAAAATTGCTTATTTTTGCCGTTAACTTTTCCGTTAATAGTATATTATGGCTAAATATTTGGAGTCGAAATTTATTAAAGTTATTAAAATACAGATTAAAATATAGATTAAAAATATAGCAAAATAGATAACAAATGCATTAGAAATAAAAAAATATATAACAAACCTTCTTATATCATGATGCAAAATATCACAAAAATGACAAAATGCTAAACCACTAGCGATTTCAGAAGCTATTCTTAGTTTAAAGTCCCATAACAGGCCTGGGTTGTTTTTCAAGTAGGTGTTGAGATCCCCCACTTCTGCCCATTCCGAAATAATGTACAATTTACCATTAACCTGCGTTGTACCATAACTTTACAATAAATTATAAATTATTAATCTGACTAATAATGATAATAATAATTTCTCATAATAACTTTAAAATAATATAACATACAAGGCTATGATATTCAAGCAGTTTTTCAGTTCGGTAAGAATCGAGACCTGCTTTTCAAGTTTTTCAATTTTTCCAGCGGGATCTTCCGTAGTATTGCCATCTGAAGACCTTAAGGTCGCAATATATGCGATTTCTTTTTGAGCAACTGGCTGGACTCCGCTCATAATTTTTTTAACGATTTGTCCGTCACCACGTTTCACTTCCTTTCCATTTTCTATATGATCTGTAATTTGATTTCCAGAAATTTGAGATTTTTTAAAGATCTTATTTGCCGCTGAACTTTGATCATTGGTAATAGCCGTTTGAATCATAGTCAACTTATTTTCAACTGCATTAAGTTTCTCTGTATTATTCATTCCGTTGTCAAATAAATCCTGCATAACTTCTTCTATTACTTGAAGTGATGTTTTAATATCAGCATGGAATATTCTTTGATCGTCTTCAATGTCTCTGTTCGTTCGAAGACAAGTAGATAATCCTAATTGTGCAATCGCTGAATCAAATTCTTTAGTAATTTCGTTGTAATTATTTTCAATCTATAATTAAAGTAAATAATTAAGCGAATAATTAAGTAAAATAATTAAGTCAATAATATTAATGAAAAATTTTAAAATATATATTTAATTTAAATTACCTCACGAGCAGCAATTAATTTCATAAATGGTGAAGACTTGCTAATTTTATCAATAAAATCTTTACACTTTGTTATCGCAAGAACATAACCTCTTAAAGCCAAGTCATTTTCATCTTTTACAGTAATTTTATCAAGAGCTTGGTTTGAAACACGTATACGATCAGCTAACCTATTACAAATTGCTTTATTATGTCCTGCTCTTTCAGTTAAATTAATTATTTCTTTAAATACTATTGCTGGAAGTGCAATTAATGGGACTATTGTGCCAATGTTTATGGCCAAATCGCTCGCAACTTTAGCACCTGAAACTCCAGCATTAGGTTCCGCCATTTTTTCGCTTTGTTTTTTTTTAAACTTTAAACAAAAGGATAAAATATTTATTGATGCAAACTTTGACACCTTTTTTTTCTTAAAAAAAGTTTTTATCGGCGTATACTTTCCACTCCTTTAATAAAAAAAAAAAAAGAAATAGTAGTTTATCGGTGCAAACTTCCGAGAATGTTACGCATTTCCAGAATAAATGCGCATGTCTTGTATAAATAATGGAATTCATTATATATATAAAAAAAGGAACTAGAACAAAGGAACTAAATAAGGTTGTAGTGTGTTATGTATCACTTTTCAATTGTCTAACCTTATATGGAATTTTCAATACAATGTCATTAGAAATTTTCACAAATTTTAATTAGTTTGTAACCTTTTTATATTTCATATGCAAATGCTTGTCCGTTTCCATAGAACATTTCATTAGCACAAAAATAATAATAATTATCTTAGAATATTAATGTCATTTACTGTCGGAGTGTAGCGGCATAGAACACTCGATTTTTACGTACGCAAAGCAGGGATCTGTGGATTTTAGCTGCAATTTTAAAGAACGTACGTACGTACATACATACGTATAAGCATATAAACTTTTTTAAATGCATATAAGAAACGCAAAATTCACGGGCCCCTGACGCAAAATGATACAAAAAGTTTTCGATGCCATTTTTGATACATTTATAGTAAGATTATCAGAAACTATTTTCTATTTCCAATTGCATATTGGTACAACACAGAATTTCACGTGATAATGTTATTTTCGTTTTCTAGTATGATTTAATAATTCTTTCGAACTAGAGGTTGGAACCGGTTTTAATAATTCGGGTTTATCACGTAAATCTTGTGATATTATGGAAATTTATCCAATTA